GGGGGAAGAAGAATCTGTGTTTTCATTTCAATTGAAAACAGAAAATTCTAATTGTGCCCACGTAATACTTAGGCACTCACAAGTGTAATAATACACCACTGTAAACTGATTATGGTAATTTTATTCTGAAATACCACTCAGCTATATTACAGAGCTGATACACTGGAAAAAACCCAACAAAACAAACCCCAAACCAAAACAAACAACAAACCCAGACATTAAAAAGTCATCTCAGATTTTGCTTCTCAATACCCCCAAAATCTATCAAGCTATAATCTGGCCAAAGGCACACCATGTTTCTTTTCTTAATTAGTGAGTCCAGTATTACTTACAGGTAACAGTAATGTAAGAATACTTACTTTTTACCATCGAAAGATGTTATCTGAAAACAGTACCGTCTGTCTTCACAGTCCACAGCCATTACAGAACAATTATCTATATCCATGACAAGTCCCCCAGCTACGTCACCTCTTGCCTGGCTCATCAAATTTCCACCTTGAGTGAAGTAAAACTGTCTCTCCCAACTGGAAGATACCAGCCCTGTCTTACTAAAAGATAAAAAGAGGTTCTTAGTTAGTAGATTAGGAGTTCAGCTGAGCTGTATAACTTAGAAAAAGAAAAAAATTACTTGGAACAAACCATCTGGGCACTTGAGAAAACTTTTTTCCCCATTTAATGTTTTAGGTTAGCTGTACAGCTAAATTAAGTCTTTTTCCCTATGGTTTGTTTGGGGTTTCTAAACCTATTCCTGGGCAAAGAATACACAAAATAGTTGCTTTTTTAGATTATGTGAAGCTTAATTTAGAATAAAAAGGCATAAGTACTTCCGTTTTGATGATGGTATTGCACAATACACATTCAAATTATACGCATTACCAATATAATTGATAAGACTTCTGAACTCTGCATTTCTACTGTTAAGACTTACTTCTTTAAGAAGAACTTTGTGTTGAGCATTAGCTTAGTCACATAAGATATATAAATTTTCCAAGTATTTTGTACCATTCAACAAGATTTCCAAACTTTTGCTTAGAGCATATTGTTGTTCTTTTGGTTCTTTTTGTTTGTTTGTTTCTTTGTTTGTTAGGTTTTTTTCCCAGAAGAACAGAAGAGGAAAAATCTGAAACCAAACATCCTAACACTTGATGTTTAGCCTCCTTTTTTGTTCAGATAATTTCTTCACTACTAATTGCTGCAATTGTGTTCTCCTATGAAAATTCATGCTTCATTGAGTATGTACTCTAACTGTTGCTGTAGAAATAATCTAAATTTTTTAAAGCACTTATTGGAGCTTATTATATAAATTACAGGAAAAAAAAAGACTGTTACAACTTATTTTTAGTCACTACAAAAATCAGCTGCTAGACTTTAATAAATAATCTAACAGCTCCCTCCAGTGGACAGAAGACTACCTCGTGAAATGGAGAAGGCCATTCAAAGTGTATTTCAGTTAACAGAGAATGTTTTGCCTTGGATATCTCAAGCTTGTCATATTTTATTAGTAACTCAAATCCCAAAGCTTTGATACTTCCATAACAATCCTGATTGATAGCTGCAATCTTGTTGTTTTCCAATTACAATACAGTGAAATTACACTCCCCTAAACTTTAATTATAGTTTTTGATGTAAAAATTCAGGCAAAATTAGACTAAAATCAGGGTAACCATGCTTTACACCTCAATGAGACGATGTCAGTGTAACAATGACATTAATACTAATTAAGTGAAGGAGTCAAAAGGAAGAAACACAATAGCTCCTATGTGACTTACTCAACTAAAATCAGCATAGCTAACTTCAAAAAAAATATTGCATACTTTTTTAGCTTTCCTTTCTCAAAACTAAATATTCTGGAATTTTTAAGTAACAAGATAAGTCTTACTTTCTTGCATTGAGATAGCCAGCTTTCCGTGTTAGATTTCTATGAACAGGAAATTTTGTAGTATCAGGATCAGGCAAATACAGTGGATCACTAGCTACTTCCAAGTCCTCTATAGTTTGCTGCATGTTTTCTACTTCGCACTCCATTTCCCTGCGAACACTAAGGTAAATAATTATTAACAAAGATAATTTATTTATAAGTAGAAACAGAAAAAATAATTATCTTGATAATAGTTCAAAATTCAATGAAAACAACTTACTTCTGTACACTTGTGCCAATATTGGTCAAAAATTCTTCCAGTTGCTCAGTAAGATTTTCTGAACCCATTTTAAAAAAACTTATCTTTAAAAAAAAAAAGAACAGGAAAAGGGAGACTTTAGTCATTAATAAAACTACAGTAACAATTATCAGATGAAACCACAGGAGGTTAAAGTTTCTCAGAAAAATTTGGTTTCATCCCTCATTCCCACCAAAGCCTGCCAATAAAAGTAGAATGCATGTTTTTGTCTACAGGTGAAGGTTGGTGCTGACACTGCAGTGGGATTTCATTGCATCACGAGGAAGTGCACAGAGTCACCTGGAGGAAATACAGAAACAAGCAGAAACTGCCCTGGAAAAGAAACAAGGTTTGACCTTTTAGTGATCCCAAGGTCTCTCTATACTTTTTCAAGCCCACCAGTTTGCTAACTGTTGTGTTACAAGTGAAGTTATTTGGGGGACGAAGGAGAGGAGAAACCTGTGAGGACTCGTATGGGGCCATCCTCTAACTGTGGACCCTGCCAAGGGGAACTGACAAGATGTGCCTAAAAAACAGTGTACACCGTATTGGTCCAGAAAAACTAGCACATCTAAATTGAGTTTAGCCATAAGAAATCTCAGAACAGGAAGCCACAGGGCATGGCCCCGCCCTTCCCATTCTTAGATTCAGCAAAAACCTGCGTCTGAACAACAGGCTGCATTATCTACGATGTTACAGAAAACACTTAGAGCATAGTTCTTAAATACAAGCTGTAAAGTTTCAAAAAGAGGCAAGATGAGTCCTGGGAGCTGGAAAGCTTTCAGGAAGTATGCAGAAATTAATTTCTACCCAGGACACTGTGGCAGTGCCAGATGCTGGAAGTCTGACTTTTTTTCTTTTTTAAAAAAACATACTGACAACATACTTCTGAAAATACAAATTAAGTCTCTCCAAAGAACTTTTTCATAGTTGTATTTTTTATTGCTCCCATCCTCAAATAAACCAATTATGGAATCATTATATTAAACAAAATCAAGCTGGAATGATTTTTAGCATTCCAGTTCTTCCACCCCCTTGATTGAAATAGTAGTGATGTGACTTTGATGATTATCTTATCTCAGAACAGCTGCCACAGGAAGGAGTTTAACTGTCTCCACATTACCTTCTAAGAAGGGACACTTCCATGTGGACTTGCATGCATGGAAGTTTGAATCACCTATTCCAATTAGTGATCCAGTGGGAAATAGTACTCAGCAATGAAAATTTAGGCAGTGCATTAAATTTAGCCATCTGGGTTTTGGGGTAGAATTAGACCTTTATATTTGTCACCCAGACTTGCCTAAAAGATTCTCTGATGGGAGTGAGGACATGTCTTAAGAGAGTCATATATGAGTGGGAAATGACTAGTACTGGCCAATGACAGCGTTCAGGGCAGCAGCTATGACAGCTACAGGGATGAGGACGGGGTACATCTTTATCTCCACTTGCTTCCTTGGATTACAAAAGAGGTTTTGCAATGGATTTTAGTACATCAACCTTCATGAAGTGCTTTTACATCTTTTTTCAGACCTACAGCTCTCAGAATCTGAAATTACCTGAGCTTGCATGTATCCTAGCAAGGGTTCCAGCATAGCAATTTTCTTTTTGTACTGAAGAGTATTTAATGCACAGAAATAATGCATCATAGTCTGATGCTGTTTTTTCCTGGAAGTATATACATCTTCTGTAACTTCAGCCTTGATCTAAAGGGACAGATGGGGGAGAGGGAAAAAGGAATGTTTGAGACTTGGTATTCATCACATGCCTTCTGAATGGCTTTATAGCCAGCATGGAAAAAACAACACAGTAATGTTCCACCCTCTACCATCAGCAATAGCATATTTTACCCTACAATTCCACTTCTCTAACTTATACATGAGAGATACAAGAAAAACAAATACAACATTCTTTTCTCTCTGTAAAGTGTGGTCATTTCTTTACAAAAATAAATTGAATATAGTATCACAACCTTCGGCTTAGAGTATTTTCAGTGTTACAAGACAGACATTTACTTCTGTTCTGAAGCAAATTGTCTAGACTGCTAAAACATAAATTATCAGATTCAGATGGAATCTGCATACATTGTCTTCCATCATAAATATATATACTAGATGAAAATTATTTCTTATCTCCTCTAAAAAGCTTAAGTATTTAGTTTTACGAACCTTTTCATTTTCCCTTCTTTTTGACAACCGACTGTATCTGGTAATGGCAGCATCATGGTCTAAGCAATCAAGACAAAATTTATGATCATTTTGATGAATTAATGACTCATGAAACAGAGCAGAGAACCTTTTATATCACTGTGTGTTGCACAGACAGCTGAATGCAAAGTTTGATCATACTAAAACCTTTTAAGAATTGTTCTTGCCTGTTTATGATTACTTCACTGCCACAAATACTTGGGCTGAAGAAAAATTCTAACCAGATGTAAACATGGACAAATTGTTACAAATTGCCCTAAACATCTAATATTCTCCAAAGACAGAAACTTTCTATGAGTAGTGACAACTTTCCATTATGAAAACCTGTATCTAATCTTTCTTGCTTCCTAAGCAACAAAACAATTCACATTAAGAGAAGCAGAATCCTTACTTCATCCTTACTTGAAGAATATATTCTCTACGAGGATGTAGTAGAGGTAGCTAAAAAAAGTCACTTCTGACAATAAGGAAGAGAACTATCAAACTAATTTTAGAGAGGTAAAATTTGTTTATTAATCCAGTCCTGACTTTAAGAAGTGAGCTAGCATCTTACTATTTTTAATAATTTTGGTAGCATAATCCTAAATCATTTAATAATTATATAAACATTTAAAGTATTGTAAAAAGACTTATACTGTCAATTTGCTTTAACACTTTGATACACAAAGCAGGGATTTACAAGTGAACCAAGGAAAGGTAGGTGCTTAAGCATCACTGAAAAAATTACATCTCAATTAGTCACTTTAGGCTGTGCAAATATCTTCACTAGTTTCCTGAGTAAATAGTCCACAATAATACTGTTGTCTTGTATCTATAATATTAAGTATTTCACACTTACCATTGCTTGCAATTTGGAAAACTTCTTTTAGAGTTAATATCTCTAAAAAACAACAGATCACAATTTAAATAAGTTATTAACATAACATTTATATATTATGGTTTCTCATGCAATGTTTCACTACTGAATTAGCAGCACAGGCACTATGTGACCAGGAAAGTTTGCTCCTACTTAGGGCCCAAGTATCATTTATGTGGCTGCCTTACTGCAAAAAGACTCTGTGGTAAGTTAAGGAGGAACTTCTTTTCAAAGGACTTTGAAAGAGATTGTCAATACAAATGTGTCACTTAGAGTTCTGGTCAGAGTTCTGGTCTGAATTGGGGAACTGGAAGCACAGGAGATGGGGAAGTATTACTGGATTAAAGGAAAGCCCCAAACACATTCTGATTCCTCCTACCTAAAATTAGTCATGTTCTAGATGGTCATTTAGTCTCGTTGTGTCAGGAAACAGAAAACAGTACAATATTTAGCACTTGTTCTGATCCTGATTGGGGTTTTGTGTCATATTACAACACAAACAAGCAGAGAGCTATGTTCAACTTTACGGTAAAGCAAAGAAAAAAGCATGGAAAAGCTTTACAGAAAGTGCCTATGAAGTTCATAAAGAAGGATGGCATCATTAAATCCTACATCAATCAGCTGGTGGTTCAAAACTTCCAGGAGGAATATTTGACTTGCAATTATTGCCTCAGGAATGCTTCTTCAGTAAATATTAACAGGAGATTTTTCCAGGTTCTGAGGAGCAGTATTAGCCTTGAGATTCCCATGTTCCCTTGCCAAAAAGCATAAACCATAATTTTTCAACAAACTATTGCCAAAGAAGTATTTTCCAAGATTCATTAAGAGCTAGAAGACTTATGGAAGAGTGGGAATTTTTGTTTCACTTTAGACTTAAAACGTTCATATGTTAGGTATACCCACTCTAGGATGTTCACATTAGGGATTTAAGTTATTTTGGTTTTAACTCTTATAATTTATATTTGAAGCTCATTTGCCAGTCTATTCACTTTAGCATCTTGAGTAAAATCTATCATAATCAGACACATATATTATTTTAGACCAAGCAGAATAAGACAACTGTTACAAAAATAAGAAGCTGGAAACATCTTATGCCTGTGTGCAAGAATTCACCTATATTACCAGAAGGGCTGAAGAACCACCTGACTAAATCTTAGTAAGTACTACAACTTTGGCACTTTGCCTTCTGAGTTTAGTCCAGCCATTATACTCATGTCATAGTATTATAATATACACAAATACTTCCTGAACATGCAAGTTATGTAAAAATTATTATTTCCTAATGTTTACAGTAACTGCAAAATTTTAATGTTGAATAGACAATAAGTACTTCCATAATGTAAGTAATATTTTTGTTGAAACAGTAACAGTGTCAAGTTCTCCAACTGTAACACTCTCATGAATAGAAACGCCTTACATTTTTTTTTTTTTAAATCGGGAGGTGCATACTTTTGAGAGCTGAAAAATAAGTGGCATACTCTATTCAGTGAAACAAGAGCTATGTAGATTAAATGCTATGTTTTTGTTATTGCTGCTGTTGATAAAAACAGTATTTGTTTGAGCACTCTACCTTTTAGATCCCTTTCTTTAAACTGGGTAATAGGAAACATCATTGCATCTGCAAGCTGAGTTGAAAGTACTGCATGGCAAGAACTGAGCTGTAAAAGACAGGAGAAAGAAGGAAATTTTAGGAAAACAGTGCTGTGATTGAAATAAATAAAATAAAATAAAATAAAATA